ACGGCGCGCGGGCGGGGGGGGGCGGGGCGGGGGGGGGCGGGGCGGGGGGGCGGGGTCGGGGGGGGGGGGGGAGGGGGGTGGGGGGGGGGGGGGGGGGGGGCTCTCGAGTGTTCTCCGTAAAACGGTCGAAAGCATCCTTCGGTCGTGACTAATGGAACGAAAGGACGAACGACTGGGTAGTCGAGTGAACCAACGAACGAACAAGCGAGTAAACTATCGATCGAGAAATTACAAAGACTGACTTCTTGGCGTCGAAACGACTCCGGCCCCCGTCCGTTTTTCCTTTGCTTTTCTCTGGCAATTATTCGCCGATTAGAAGGTATTATTATCCGTGACGACTGCCGCTGTTGCCCTCTACTCCAGAGAAAAATCTATCGTCCGAATCGGTCCGAGGATCCATGTTTTGTATCGATCTTACCATCAGAGCTAGTCTGTAGCTTAACGCGTGTCTTCTGTTTTAACACTTTACCGACCGATTTCCTATTAATCGGCTTTATGTCGCCGACAATCTTTCTCTCTTTATTTGAGCAGTAATTTGATATTTAGTATAAAGGTACCTTGCTCAGTTGCGTCAGTTGCGTTGCTGCCACAGTTTTATACCAATTTGAAAAACGTACCGTTCGCGATGAACGAAAAGAATGGTATTGGAAAGTCTAAACCGGAACAGAACTAGGCGCTAGGGAGAATCTGCGCCTGAGCTAGCGGTCGGTAAGGTATTAAGACGAGTTATTGGCAACGATACGTCGAACCGCGACGACTATGACAAACAACGCTGTACGACTATGTCGGAGAAACGAGGAAACTCGCGTTCTCCGGCGAGATTATAGAGGATGGTCTCGTAATCGATGGTACAACCGGGAATTATAGAGGATAAAGGAATTATAGAGCAACGAATTACGGACGATTCTTTCGTATGCAGCTCTGTTTGCGGAAAAATGAATCGTTAACGTTGCATGGTATACGTTGTCTGTGTATATCTCGGCCGAAAGAGCCTGCTTATAGACGGCGACATCGTTGTACGGATACTCGCGATTTGGGACAAGCGAACGAAGAAAAGAACTTGACTTGAACTTAAGAAAAAGAGACAACGGAAACGAAGACGAAATTTCATGAAATAGCGAATAACGAGAAACCGGAGACCTCTTGATTTCGCGTAAAGCCGCTCACTGGGTCACCGCTGAAATCCTCAAGCACCATGACGGCTCTCGTTGCCAACCGGAAGAGATAAAAACGCGATGAATATCCGTAATTCCGTTAATGAATCGTACAGAAAATTCGTCCTCGAACGTCGTTATAAAAGACCGTGCGCCGTGCTGCACCGTCATCCTCCTCTGTCTCGCATTTAAACGACTCTGAAGAAGCTCTTTCCACTCTACTCTCTCTCCGCTCTCTTGCCAATTGACCTCGTCGCGCCTATTGATATTTGCCAACCGTAAAGACAACCCGGTTCCTCCACTATCGCGTTACTCTTCTCAATATTCGCGATCAAACGCGAATCCGATTTAGCACGCGGGATAAAGCTAGTTCTAGTTAATGTGCAGTTTGCTCGCTTTGTTGCAGGTAAATGGTCAAGATGTATCGAACTCGAGTCACGAAGACGCAGTGCGTTGCTTTCAATCGGCCCAAGAACCGATCATCGTCGAGGTATTGCGACGACAGCCAACTCAACAGCAACAACAGCAACAGCATAGTCAGCGAACCGGATGGAAGGAACAGGAGAGTCGAAGCACAGAACCGGAGAAAGAATGGGAGAGAACGGCCGAAGGTGGCAATAAACGCGATCAACACGCCATCAACACTTGTCCGAATCTGGTGTCGACCGCGGTACAGACCGACTGGGCTGGACTTCTCGAGACCGAGGAAGAAGAACTGCTGCCGGTGGTCGACGAGCAGCCAAACGACAGTTTCGAGGACTTTCTCGCGCACGACATCGATTTCGAGGTAAGTTAGGTGGAAATGACACGCGCTATCGGACGACATAGCAACTATCCGAACGACATACAGGTCGATGGACGTTTCTTAAATAATTTTAATTTAACGCGTGTACATCTTCGTTCCTAAGTACGTAGTCACCGTGAACATTCTGACCGATTCTTGTCAACAACGACCGATCGTTGCTTGCGATATTACGAATCGACGAATCTTTCTACTTGTAATTTTACGAGACGAGTAAGCGTTCGTAGATTTTCGAGCAGATGGTGTACGTATCGATTAATACTTTACCGACCGATGGCCAATAATCGGTTTCTTGTCACCGACGCTTACCGACCGATGGCCTATTAATCGGCTTTTTGTCGACAACAATCTTTCTCATTATTTGAGCAGTAATTTGTTATTTAATACTAAGGTACCTTGCGTCAGTTGCGTTGCTTTGTAGGCTGACACAGTTTTATACCAATTTAAAAAACGTATCGTTCGCGATGAACAAAAAGAATGGTATTGGAGAGTCTAAATCGAAAGAGAGGGAGAATCTGCGCCTGAGATGCCGGTCGGACGTGCGTAGGTTGTTGAGTTACTGGCGGTCGGTAAAGTGTTAATTGGTTACGACTAATTAAATTTCTCATCGTTCGATTACGAAAATGAAACGTACGTAGAATCGGATAAAGAGAAAAAGAAGAAGGAAAGACAGTCGATCGGAGAAAAAGAGTACGTGGAAATATTTTTTCTTTTTAACGTTCGAGATTGGACGAATTTGTAACGAAAGCACAATTACAGGAGGTGACGTTGCGGAAGGCGGGCAGCGCCGAGAAGCTAGGGCTCACGGTGTGTTACAGTTCCGGATCCGGCAGCGAAGACGCCGACACCGAGGTCTACATCTCGGAAATAGTTCCTGAAAGTCTGGCAGCGCGCGATGGCCGATTGCGAGAAGGCGACCAAATCTTGAGGGTAAATCGCGAAGACCGCGGACTACGACGAATCGAAGCGGTTGATTCGATTACGGGAGAACCAGCCGGACGAGCTCATCGCGTTTTCTCCTCGCGATTTCCTTCCAATCTGCTACCCTTCTAATCTCGTTAAGCGGATCGTAATCGCGGAACAAAGACTTTGCGCTTCGCTCGAGGGAAATCGGATGGAAGAACGACCCACCGTGTCACGGATTTCTTCCCTCGATTTTCCACGTTTCCGCGAATCCGTCGAGCAACGTCGTTGCGGCAGAAAAATTCTCTTACAGTTCGCGAGGCTCCAGAAGAACCAGGCTACGATCGCGCTGAATAGGAAATTTCCGCGAACAACCAAACGAACGAATTCTAATTATTCCGCCGTTCTTCGTCGAAATTTCTTCGTTCTTATACATCGACGAGCGATCAAACTCGTTTCAACAGCGATGAAACTTCGCCACGAAAACACGTTGCGACCATCGTTTCCGCACCAAACCACGTTACTCGTGTTACAGGTGAACGGAAAGGACGTGGCGAACAAAGAACAAACGGAGAACCTGTTCGCCGAAACGAAAAACGCCGTGACCATTCTCGTCAGTCGATGTCTTTATCAGGTAAGATCTCTTTGTGGGCTACTGAAATACGATGCTAAGGAAATCAAAGTATGGTAAAGTATGCTACAACGAACGCCTTCAAAACGAACTCCAGACGAGACGAACATCGTAACGAGCAACTTTTGCCAGTAAAGTCAAATTGCTGTATCAGATACGAAAAAATATTCATAGAAGATGCCTTCTTCTTTTCTAACGCGGTTTACGATCGATATAGTTGCAAGTTGAAAGGAACCAACCAGCCTCGTACGTAATTCGTTCTAACGTACTCCACCGGCTAGCCGATCCTTTTATCAGACTTTGATCTTTCGAAAACTGTTTCTTTCCTCTTTTCCTCTCGTAGGAGGACGATTACAAGGAGAGGCGCGTGTACCCTCGGGTGAGTAGGGACGATCGTCCTCCGTATTTCCGATACTCGTTACAAATTCATAGATCCTTCTGGTCTCTGTGCAGGGATCGCCGCTGCTTTCGCCGGACCATCTGCCTTCCTATCAGAACAGCCTGATCGAGCAGCTGATTCGACAGCAGCAACAGCAGACGGAGGAACGGACCAAAGACACGGAAGAGGACTGTTCGACGTTGAGGCCGCCGCCGCCACCGCCTCCACCGGTGCCCTGTCACACGCTTGGACATCAAGCAAACAACAACACCCCTTCTTCGAGCTGTTCTTCCCAAACGTCGCAAAAATCTTCCGGTAGAAACGCTGCGTCGCCTGCGCGACACGCGGATCACGATCGCAAACAGTGGATGCAGGAGACGTTGAAGGATTGCTCGAAGAAGATGGAGGGTCTCTGTGTGCGCGGTCAATCGCAAACAGGTTGCGGAGGCGGAGGCGGAGGAGGAGGAGGAGGAACGATCGCGGTTAGGTTGGCAGACGCTTACTCGAATCACGTGTGGAGCGAAACAGAACACATCTACGAGACTATACCAGAGTCTGACAGCGAACCGATCTACTCATCGCCGTACGAACATCACAGACATTGGCATCATGCGAATCATACTTCTAGCGTGGTCGCTACTGCGCAGCCAACCATCACCACCGTCCCTCCGCCACCGACGACCATCGTCTCTACCATCGCGATCGCTATCACGACTACTGCAAATACCACCACGTCGAACACGGTAATTCAATACTCGCAGAACCAAGCGAACCAGAGTGGAAGATGGTACTGTTCGTCGAAGAGCAACAGCTCGGGCGAGGAGAAGGATAGCTCGAGCGCGTACAACACCGGAGAATCCTGCAACAGCAATCCGCTCACGTTAGAATTGCAACGCGGTGAAAGGGATCATCATAAAAGTACACTGGTGCTTTGCCCCCCGAAAGCGTTGGCTGTACAGCAACAACAGCAGCAGCAGCAGCAACAACAGAGGCTCGGTTGCACGTGCCCCGCGTTCACCAACAGACAGACAAGGAACCAATCGAACAAGAGAGGCTCGAGTTCTCATTATTACAGAGATCGTGCGACGGATCCAACTAACTTGCCTGCGGATACTATGTACACGAACATGGCTAACCTTCAGCAAACGATGCTTCTGCAACAGCAGCTGTTCAAGCAGGCTCTCGACCGGAGAAACTCGACCATCGGTGGATCTAGAGAGAGCAGCAGCGTTACCGCGGTTGCTGCCGGTGGCACTGCGAAAAAGTCCAGGTCTCATGGTAATTTTCAAGCACCGAATTTGACTCGGTACCAGTTTGTCGGCAGTCAACAGGTGTGCGCGTCCAGTTCCTGGATACCCCCGGAGGACAAAGCGAACGACGTGCAGATGGAGTGGAAAGTGAAGAGGAGAGCGGACGGAACCAGGTACATCGCTCGGAGGCCAGTCAGGAATCGCATTCTGAGAAATAGGGCGATCAAAATATCGGAAGAGCGAGCCGGTCACAGCACGGAAGACGACACCATGTCGGAAGTGAAGGTGACAGCATCGAATTCAGGCCAACCTTTTATCTCTCTTCTCTCTTCCTCTCTTTTCCATAAGCTGTAATTCTTATCTGTTCGTTCGTATTTCAGGTTGGCAGATACTGGACCAAGGAGGAACGTAAGAGACAGCTGGAACGTGCTCGCGAACGCAAACAGAGACAACAAGAACTTCAGCTGCAGCAACAGCAACAACTTCAACAACAGCAGCAACAACAGCAACAACAGCTTCAAATGCAGCAGACCAACGAATTGTTGACGTGCGAGCACGGCGAGCACGAGAAGCTTCCGAAGAAACCGTTGAATATCGTGGAACTGAGTCACAAAAAAATGGCTCGTAAAAAGAACACCCTGGACGATTTCACTACCGTTCAGGAGATGTTGGTTCATGGAAACAGAATCGGTAGCGCGGGAGGTCCCGGTACCGGTGGCAAACTGATGGGTCTTCTTTCGGTAACGACCGTTTGAACCGTATGACCCGCGATATCCAAGGAAACGACGAAAAGTAACTTTTTCCTTGTTCCTGCGTGTTTCCTTTTGTCGCGTTATATTTGTCTTGCCACGGATGATCTCGTCACTGTTCGATCGTTTTTCAGGTTCCGTAATTATAATCAAACTTGTAATTATATATTTGATCCACACGTTATCCTATCACCGCTCCACGAGTTTCCATTCCTCCTTGCGCGTCGATCTCGTCGTTTCATTTTCGTGTTATAGGGCTACGAAAACCATGAGCGAGCAGCTTTATCTCGTTTTCAATTCGCAGTAACTGAAGCGAGTCGTGTAATGCTCGTGTCGTGGAAGTAGCGTAAATACGAACAAGGTTGTACATATTTTTCGTATAACGATATAATAAATGTATGTAGATTATTTTACACGAGCTGAAACTTTTGCAGACAAAGAAAATAGAACGAGTACGCTTTTGTAGATATGTACAATAAACGTAACGATGGTATGAATAAATCGCGGGTGAAAATCGTGAATCATGGCCCTGCGACCTACTGTAAGAGAAGGATAAAAGGAAAAGAATGTTTGCATCGCTTCGTGCCATCTTTCTTTGCACGCGAGTCGTCGATCGGACCATGCGAAACGTCGAGTTGCCACGCGAACAATGTAAAACAGGTAAAATGTGCCGTAACAAAAATATATATAATATATATACGTATATATATACATACACATATATATACGAAGAATCACATATTTTATTACGAAATTCGAAATTCCTGATTATCGACATACGTATATCTCTTCATGCGTCTATTTAACCATCTTATTTATCCATCTATCTATTGCATGAACGATGCGTTGATGTTTAAACTGCTTAAAATCTTTCGTTCCGGAATATTTAGATGCTGAATGTATGCCGGAAAACAATGGTGAGTCGAAAAATTTAATAGGAAGTCTTGCAAATATTGATTCAGATTCAAGTGATAGATGGAATCTTGCAGCAAGTCCGGATCGTCCTCGTCTTCCTCAGTTTCGGACACAGTTTCTCCAAGTACTAATTCATAAAACGATAATTTGTCGTGTGTTAAATAACGAAAATATATTATAACGTTAACGTTAGCGAGAAAGATTAATGAATCAAGATGTGCCGAAAACACCACGGAATCGTACCCCACTTACCTATCATATTTTCGTAGCCAGGATCTAAGTAGGAGACCTCATCTTCGTCTTCGTCGTTGTATGAATCCTGCGCGTTAAAGACTGATTAGTTCGACCCGTGAAACAAAGATAAAATATGAAAAATATTATTCTTTATTATCACTAACATCCGTGTCATGACCAGCGGCGATCGCTTCGATGTCGTTCGATAACTCGTTGATTATCAGCTTGAATATTTTCACCAAAACAGGTATAGTGGTCCAGTGATAAGGCTGTGATTCGGCTTTACTCCTAGTCCTCACGCCTTCTTCGTTTCCTACGTATTCTCGAATTTTAATTAGTCAGTCGCTCTTTTGGGATAAATATTTTATCGACATCTTGTACTAATTAATGAAATTAATGAATTGAAAATAAACGTTCGAAAGGATTAACAATGAAAGAAACAACGATCAAAGTGTTTTCCCTGTGTACGCTCGTAACGCGTTTAATTCGTCCGAACGTTTTCGTTATCAAATTCTCTACGATGCTTCAAATACGAACCTGGGAATACTTGGTCTCCCCTGACTATGATCTCGTTCAATCGACTATCGTCGTGAGTAACGCCGTACTCCAATATCTTGCAAAGCGCGACCGTTGCTACCTTTCGGTCGTATTTACCGAAAAACAGGTGTTGCCTTGTGACCCATTCGGAGAGCACGAAAGTGAGAGCGCTTTGTCCTGTCGGACCGGGTACGGTTGATAGAAAATTTAGGACAGCGTCAAACTCTGTGTTTATGAGATGAGCGTATACCATGAGCAAACTTTGTACCACAGTCAACGTCTGAGCTCGCTGCATTTTGCTCAACACAGCCTTCAATAATAGATCGAGATTTTCGCCCAATGTGTTTCCCGCTTTCCTAATCAACGTCGTCACCAATCGTCCGACAAAAGTCGCTGTAAACTCGCTCGACTACAAATGCCACGCGCCTCGTTAAAAAATCAATTCGTTTATAATATAGATTATGTGTCGATCATCTGGTGGAATAAATCAACAGAGGCGGATCTAACCGTTGAATCAGGATTGTCAAGTTACCTGCGGGTTCAATAGCTGAGCAATGATCTGCAGTATGTATTGTAAACCCGTTTGACCGTCATTGTCTCGATGTACCGTCACCTGCCGAGCCGCGACCGATAGGTAAGCTCGTATCACTTCCCCGCCACTTTGCAACGTTTCGTTGTCTTCCGAATTCAGAATACAGTGGCACGCAGCAGGAAATGCAGTTTCGACTAACGCGCTGCTCAGTGGTTTAGGAGAGTAATGCACCAATACTTGCAAAACATCTAGAGCTACGTTCCGACATCTCTCTATTGTACAAACAATCGGAACGAATAATTACAATTTTCATGTCATGTTACTGCCTGTATCCAAGTATGTCTAATTTTTAATAAGACTTACCGTCTTTTAATTTATCCATAGGCGATACGGCCATCATACTGGTTAACGTTGGTATCAAGCGTGTTTGTAATGGTCCTATACAGTCAGGATTTTGTGTCAGATTTTTGAATATGTCTTGACACATGTACAAAATATCATGATCGCTATAGAACTTCAAAAACGCAGCGATAGTTAAGGGGCAAATCTTATTTTCCACTGAAGCGGTAAATGCTTTGTCCAACTGTAAAAACAAGCAAAACCTGATGCAACGAAGATGGATAAAGGCAAAGAAAGATGATAACTCGAACATTACCGAAACCAACACTTGAAAAGTTTCCATTACTAGCGTAAAAATTTCCGTGGATGTTTGATTAGCTATATTGAAAAGTCCTTGAAATATGTTCGGCAAATGCGACCGTATAATATTGCCGAGAGTATTGTTATTCTCCGCCACTGAAGCTTTGCAAAACCAGTAAATAGCTTTTACTGCACTGATGCGGATACACGAAGGCTGATTCTCCTGTAAACCATTAACAGTTGCCTCCAGGAAACGTGAACTCATTTCTGGTGGCATTATTTCAGCGTATTTGCCACCAATACACAAACAACGGCCAAGAAGTAACGGCGGTGAACCTAAAAATTGCCGGTACGATACGAAACGACAAACGAATGAATACCGAAGTAGAAACAATTGTCATTTTATTGAATATCGGATACCTGAATCCTTTAAAGTAGCTAAAACGATCGTATCTAAAAATCTAATAATATCGAATTGAAGCATTCCAGTTTTATGCCTCTCCACAACGATATCTTTTACTTTACTTAGGGCTAAAATAGACGATTCTCGTAATTTCCAACACGTTTCACTGTCTCCGCTTCCATTATTTGCAGTCTGTAATCTACTAGTTGCTTCGATGTGACGCGTTACAACCTCGCAAAGTGCATTCACCGCTTTTTCCTCAGAATAATTTACTAAAGCCTGCATTCGAACAAATTAATTACAGAGAAAAGAAATTCAGTTTAAACGTTCTATTATTATTAACAAAACTAATCCAATTGTTCCCTAGAAAACATATATTTACCGTTAAGAGCTCTTGCGCTGAAATACGAACATTGTAAGTCAGTACGTCCTCTTCCTCCACAAACTGGTTGGGGTTAGTTGTCCATAATTCGATTTGATCGTCGGTTATTTGCATAAAAATGATTAAATAATACATTACTTCTTGTAAGAAACTATCCAAAAGATTTGAGAATCGTTTACGATCCACAATAGAATGAACAAATTCGAATATAGCAATGATCAAATTATTAAAATTAATTATTTCACCTGCAAAAGTCAAAGCAGATTGAAAATAGATTAATCCTAAACGATTACAAATTAAGACTGCAAATGCAAAGATTACCATCTGAATCGACTTCCTTCTCGTTTGTATCTCCCTCGCCATTTACAAATTCTTCCTGATAAAGCTTCGCGCTTTGCACTAAAGTTTCCCAAAAGGGCGGTAGCATTTGAGGTAAAAAAGTTGCGATGTATTTAGGTAATCTGGTAACTAGGCAATTTATAGCTTTGATAACATCAGTTTTAAGACCACTATCGCAAGTTGAACCATCAGGCAGTCGTAAACAGTAAACGAATTTTTCACAAAACATGGGTATAACGGGCTGTAAATATTGCTCCGCAAATCCTTTTTGGAACAGTTCCGTAACAGCAACTAATGACGCGATCGTCGTAAAAATTTCAACGGCACGACCACGAATTCTAATGGAATATTGCTAAAGGTATAAATAATCATCGTCATTATTATTATTATTGACGCGAATCAATGCTTGATAAAATAATTAACTTACATTTTCACTTTGAAATATTCTATACATTTCTTGAAGGATTACTGGTCCCACATTAGGCAACTGGTTATCGGTAAGGTCTGAAGTAAATTCTGTTAAAACCCGCATAGCTCCGTGAACGGCATACTCGCTTTCCCCGCTTAAACAGCTGACAAGTATATCAAACAAACCGAGCCAATTTTCTGGCCAGTCCCAATGTGCAATCGCTGATATCGCATAAGCTACTGCTGCACGTACCTGAAATATGTAACGAAATAAAACATTTTTACATGTAATGTGTACAGTGTGTATACATATACATAATTATTAATAGATTACCTTACTAATGGACTCACGGAGACCTATTGGCAGTAACTCTTTGATTCTTTCTTTTGTTGCATACTTTATTTCAGGAGGCCGAAACTTCTCAGCCACGGAAGACCAATGAGTTTCAACATATTGCTTTAACAATACAGAAGCTAACTGTCTAATAGGTAAATGCCCATTTGGATCTACTACAAATTCCGTTAAATGTATACCAAATTCTTCTGTCACTTCTAATGCTTGAATTCTCTGTTCTGCTGCTTGACGAGTCTCTGTATGAGGAGACAAAATACCACTTAAAGTTTCATACAAAGCTTCTCTCAGTGAACCTTGAACGTCCATCGTAATTGTGCTTATTGCAAAAATTTCTGCTCCCTTATTTTTTTATTCCTTAAATGCTTCTTTTTATAATACAATTAGAATCTATATTTTTAATTTTACATTCAATTTATATGATATTCATTTACCTGAGCACATGTCCTTGGTAAATTATTATTGTTCTATTGCTAGTACAAGTACTTCTTAACATTACCAATCATCTTAATCTCTCAAAAATAATTTCTCTGCAAATAATAGAATAACTATTATAAATATAACAAAAAGGTAAAAGAAATTTCATATGAAGATAAGTAAAAAATCAAATGACAAAAATAAGTACATTGTTGCTAATTAATAGTTATACAACCTAAAAGAGATCAACGTGTATATAACTTGTGTTAGAGCAAACCACTTGTACCTAACGAAACGAATTACTTTTAAAATACATAAAGTTGGAAAGAAATTTAGATGACAAATAATTTACTTTATTTTCCATATGCTGACTTGCGGACAAAGCCGGCTTAATCGAATGACACAAAAGGTTAAACCATATCTGAGATAATATAACGATAAAAAATGAATGCTTCTCACTCTTAATATTATGTGAATAAAACGTTTATACGTGTAATTTATTTAATTTGAAATTCCTTTGTAATAATAAATGCGTACTACTGATAACTTTATAAGTTTCTATAATCGAAATCATACGTACGCGATTGAAGTATAACAGTACAAAACGACATATCGAACATCAATGTATTTGTGCACGCGCGTCTTGCAATTCAGAAATTAATTCTTACCAGTGTATGTACATATCCAGTGGATATTACCCACACACGTACATATACCCAACTAAACGAAATCATTTAAATACCTATCTTATTTACTATTGTATGAAAAAATTTCTCAGAATAAACTTATACGACTATTGTATAAAATGTCACATATATATATATATATATCCATATGATGGAAATAGCTTTCTTCCATGTCATCTTTTTCACGAAATTTCTAGGTTCTCAGTATTATCATAATAAAAAATTAAATTTACTTCCCGATATCGTTTGTAGAACGTGAAAAATCAAATTCACCGGCCTTAATAACCATATCGTTCTCATTATTTAATTTTGAGATATTTATCTGGTAATATAAGTTAATTATATTCAATCGATAAGTAGCAAAATTAAAAAATTCCAATTTTTCGGCTCCTAGGTAGGGTTTCTTAACTTTCGAGGCTCAAATGAAAATTTAGAATCAAAAAATTATTTAAAATTTGTTTTGTGTAAATATCCCCCAGTTTCTTAGTAATAAGATGTTATAAGTTTAAAAAGTTGTCCAATAACCATCTAGTGGTGAAATAGTGGAACTAATATTTTCATGAAGAAATTGAAAAGTGAAATTTCGTCTGTAGGGCGACTTCCAGATCAGTTCAGGAATCAAATCAAACTCCCAGAAATCATTTTTGTATAATATTATTCAGATATTTTCCTAATTAATTAATTACATACCATTAGTGGGTATCCTGTTTTTGACATAGTGGTGCAATTTGCAGGTGATCCCATGAAACTTAATAAGAAGCAACATTTTTGAATGGTACTCAACTAATAACTGTATAAATAAAATTAGTAACCATTTTTGAAACAGTGCCACCTTTTGCAAGATTATATTCTCCTGATACAAAATTATGCTTTTGAGGAAAAATTTCTTCAAAAACTCGAAAACTCCAAATTCAAAAAATTCCCGGAATATGAATGATGACATTTCCAAGAACTGCTGGAGTCATGCCACTTCCTGATACAAAATTGTAAAACCGGCCGAAATACTTCTCGAGGAGCAAAAAATTTCGGGGTTTCGAGAAATTCTTGGAATTGCACGACATTTACAAAAATCGCTGGAAGTGTGTAATTTCTTCCTTTATCATGTTCTCGTAATCTGAAACTGCAAAACCGACCGAGAAGTTTCTTGTTCGTATGGTAAATTTTTTGCTCTCGGATTTTCTAAAAAATGACATCTCCACGAATTTTCAAAAGTTTCGAATATCTCTTACTCTCTTGGTATCTTATTCTATTCTCTTGATACTCAGTAATACTTACCAATATTCTTGGACCCTTTCATAATTTTTTACAACATAATCTGTTATCTATCATATTAAAATTATTATACAACAACCAGGAAAAATATGTTAAATAAAATAATGCAAAAGGCAGAATTATAAGTCAATCATTTTTGTAACAAGTCTAATCAGCAATAAATTACTTTTATTTCCATTTCACCCCCTTCTTATATTCTGTTTGATTTACAATTTATTAAACACTGCAAATACAACATATGTAATGGAGAACGTATACATATAAACAATAGTGATTTCTATTCCCACCAATTAAACTGTCGCATTATACTATCGATACAAATTCGCTAATATCTTTTACAATTAAAATAACAAATTTAAAAAAATCATTCAATCTTTAAATCTTTCTCTAGATCTTTTCAATGAATTCAATGAATGATATATTCACTAGATACTTAATAAATATCATCATCAAAGATGGTACTTTTTAATCAATATCATTAAAGATATTCGTTGATATGTAAAAACCAGCAAAAAATATACACGATGTAAATATACTATACAATAGAAAAAAAATCGATAATATTGGACAGGAATTCTAGAAGTTATTACTTCCAAAATGAGCATTAAAGATCATTAATAACTTATTACATAAAAATAAAACTTTAACAAAAAGTTAATAGTGCCCGAATCTGCAATAGTGTGATGCTATTGGTAGTAATGAATTCTTTTTCGCAGAAAATTTATCTTTCAGGTACTATTATACTAAAATATCTTCGGCCTTCCTTCCAGTCAATTTCATTAAATCGGAATGGATCCTAAACTGTAATCTGGATTCCAACAGATATCCAGCGAATGTTTTTCTGCAACGAATAAGAGTTAACAATCGAATAACAAATGTTATGTGAACGTCTAAAATGAATCATATAGAAATTACTTGACGTCCTCTAAATATCCAATAGCGAGTTGAATATTTCCTTGATCTTGTGCTAGCAAAGCTAATTCTACTGTTGCATAAGGAAGTAAATAGGTATCCTCTTTGATCGATTTGTCCAACTCGAGAACGCGTTTTAAACAATTTTCAGCTAACAAAGGATGTTTCATTTGTCGTAAGCAAGCACCCTTTAGAAGCAATAAAAGTGCTTCATTATCCGTGTGATATTCTGTTTTCCTGTAAAATATTTGGAATTTTTGTATATTACCAAATAAATATTCTGAATTAGATTAGGAATGAAATCGACCGGAAGACTTACGAAGCTTTCGCAAGTTCCTTTTCAGCTTCTTCGATTACTTTAAACATGTTTAGCGTCAAATCTTGTCGTTTGCCTACTATGCGAAACAAATTCCACACATACATAAGTTCAAATATAGGAAGGACCAGGTTTTTTTTTTGAGCAAAGTACCGTTCAGTTTTTTTTACTATAAATTTTTCCATTGGTAATGACTTCCCTGCAATACGTTGTTTAAAGGTAGACGCTTGCATCATTAGAGTATCTATCATTTGCTTCTCTTCGCTTTGTACCGGTGGTTTCCGCATCATAAGTATCGCAGCTCTTTGATACAAATAAATTGTACGTGACCAATGTGATTCTTTGGCTAAAGCATCTGCAAACGTTGCAGCTTCATCCCATTGCTGCAGCGAACAATGTGCCCACATTAATTCCCAGAAACAAATATGATGAAAGTGAGGCCATAGATCTTGACTTTTCCAAGATTTTGTATACCATTCTAAAGATTTCTCAAAATTTCCTCTCGTTAGTTCTAGTCTGCCTTTAAAAAACAAAAACCATATACCGTTTGGATAAAGACTCAGTTCTTCTTCCAAAACTTTTTCACACCAGTATAGATCACCGTCTGTATGACTCAGAACAAATGATATTATTAAATTGTAAGACAAAAGAAACATCGCGCACAACACGTGCCTTAATCCTCTTCTTTCTCCGTATCCCGCTTCTAATTCCGACAAACCATATTCCTATTGATGAAAATAATATGTTGTCGTCATAAGATGGAAAGATTTATACAAAGATTTTTTATAGTAAAAGATATTTTAGTACCTTATCACCCGAAAATCCAATGAATTCTAACAGTTTGATAATTTTCGCTGGCAACAGGGAAATCATCTAAAAAATTCTCAAAAATAGTTATTGCAATTTATTTTGTATAGTAAATATTGTTAATACCACATACCAAATTAAATGCACCAATACCAGTGCGGACACCGCTCTCAAAATGTATCTTATGAGCATTATTTTCCCATTTACGATTATTTAAAATTGATAAACATTCTCTGAAAAAAGATAATGTACATAAGTAATATACTATTTTTTAATCGACATAACATCTACATAGATAATTCACACTATGATTCGTTTACTTATACGACAGAAAGCAGGTACGAATTTTCAATCCAGCTTTAACAAAGCTGACCAAAGTCTCGTCCTCCACAAACGTGAGCATCGATTTTAAAAAAAGTGACTCGGCATAACAGAGTTCCGCATGCACTTCCTCTGCAATAGTAATTCGATATCATTCCTTGCATGCTTAATGATTTAGTAATATCAGTGCCACAACATGTTATAATATGTGGGTAATTTAATTATTAAAAATGGAAAACTTGTTTGTTAGTAAATAAATTCGTACATCAAAATACTTCGCATTAGATAATGAACTATGACTATTGAATTATCCAGATTGATATATATATATATAACAAATATAACAAAATGTCCTGACAATATTCCATAATTTTGCTACAAAGAGGAGATTTAAATATTTAAATTAGTACAAGTTACTGGTAGTGAAATGTTATCTGTTAATTTAAAAACCGACTTACATATAAAGTATTACATGCTTTCCAGGAGATTTTGTGTTGACAATGCATTATAGACAAAATAATATGACTAGCTTGATAAGACATGATGGTACAGATCAATCTGGTATAAATGTATACATTACCAATTGTATAAGCATCGTAGTTAGTCTTCTTCACCATTTTGCCAATATTTTGTGTTAGTGTAACATGTTTACGTTGTTTCAAGCACACAGTCATGCATTGTTTTACAGCTCCAACCGCCTTTTCAATGCATTTCTAAGCAATACACATTACAATGTATTATTGAAAGACATATTTTCCGAATATCACAATTTACTGTGGTTTAATACTTGTTCAGATGTAAGAATAGCCTCGAGGAATGCAAATATACTTGTTCCTAAAGAATGATACATGCTACTGCCTGCCCAGGGCTCCATAATCTTTCTTGCTTCTTCAAAATCATTATTAAAAAAATAGTGTATCGCTTTTTTTGCCTCCATTATTGCTGTATCCAAATCCATAGAACTAGGCCTTGAAACAAAATATAATTAATTTAAAACATATAATGTACATATATACAGGTATATCAATAAAATACTCACTGTGGTAAAGATTCTTGAGCATCTTGAAACTAAAATCATGAGAATGAAAATTTAAATAAGATACTGCTATCACTACTAATGAAACAACCTTACTTATGCATACATACCTCATCTTCTTCGATGTCTGACATTTTGAATTAATGGTTGAATATATTTGATAATATTTGAATTAATATGCTAAAGAGATAAAATATTGTATATTACTATTTAATTTATTGACACTTAATTTATATGTGAGATTTGTATAAAAATAAAATAGTCTCACATTCAATAAATATACAGCATAGAGATCTTATATTTTATAAGATGATCCTTTTATGCACCAGATATGTTAATTATTAGAGATGAAAGATATATTCCTTAAGACAGATTTCTCAATTGTGCTTTTATCTTTAATCTTAGGTCGTTATTTCTCTTGTTCCATCATAAAAATTACATTTTGTAATTTGTAAATATAACTATTAAAAATAAACTACAACAAAAAAAATAAAAGCAATTTCTTACTATAACATATCCTTACTTTTATAATTTACCTATGTATTCTGATATATAAAAATGATTATGATAACCACACAAATATCAAACAAGTTTACAGATTGACATATATTGATAGAAAAGATACATTGATGATAAGATAAAATATATTTTTCAGAGCAACATTATCATTTCTTTAAAGATTGTATTAATAAAAACAACTTAATTTTTAAAGAACAGTGTCAAATGTTTACCGTGAATGATATAGATATATACTTTTATCATGGAATGTTCCTGTTATTATATTCCTAGTTTTGCAGAAAAGATACTTTCTTCAGATATATCCAGGTGGAAGGTGATAGTAGAGTGATAATGCTAGAAATAAAAATTATAGATAGTAAATATACATATAGACAATATATACATGTACGTATAGAAACAAAAACTAATTTACTGATCTTTTTTGATATGTGCGAACTATATGTAAATTTATATATGTATTTAATTTGAATTTAAAATATTTTAAAGTGAAGAAGATATTATCATATTAAATAAACATAATACATATTGTAGTCATAACTGTTATTAAAAGTGTAAAAACCTCAATCGCAATCTTATTACTAGAATTCTTTCTGTTCTATAAAATAAACTGGCAACTACGATACATGAACCCGGAAGCGATCTAAAGTAGAATGTTACAAAGAAAGTAGTATAACTGAATTACCGCGATGGTACCGATAGACCTAGATCGCTCATATAAATTCACGATGAAATCATGGCAATCGATAGATTGAATACATTACAATTAATCAATGCCTATAAATTAACAAAATCTGATCTTTTTATAATCTATAACTTCTAACAATAATATAAATTACTATATGTAAACATTTCAACGTAACTTACCATGAATCCATAAAATGTCAAAACGTAGCTGATCCGATTCACAAGGAAAATAAGGAAACTAATACTTATTTAATAACATTTCTAAGTTAATATAATCAGATTCTAATATGTGTATATGTTACAATGTAAAAGATTATAAGTAGACGTTTTTACATTTTTGTTCAAGATTTGCAAGAATTCTTGTAACACGCAGCTACAAACATAACGGTGTAAAACATACGCGACTGACTGACAGAACACTGATTATGTTGGTATCGGTCAGATCACATACGATGCAATTGTACACGTGACACTAACTCTACACAGTACAATGATGCTCGATATACATATACATATATATATATATATATATATATGTATCATCGAAATCACAGTTTTTAAAAGAAAGATTTGTTAAGAACTTCTTTCGAGATCATCAACATATGATCAGCACGATGACAATTTTGTTTAATGCTTGTTCTTCATAAAAAATAATCAATTGTATTTTTATAAAGGTGACAAATTTAATTATTAAAAATTTCAAGAGTCACTGATAGTCACGTGTAATCTTTCTAGATTTCGAATCTATGAAATTCTATACCTTAATTATACATGTATATTAATATTTATGTAATCTATCACATATCTAATCCTTCTCAAGACTAAGAAATAACAATATAAAGTATTAGAATGGTATACACAATTTAAAGAAATATTTTCAATTAAAACATTTCTTCTAATTCGTAGGTTCATAAAATAGAAAATAATAAATATTACATCAACACTTTTATGTGACACATTTATTTTATAAGGACATATACAAATGATTCTATATAGATTTTACTTTCAAATGAGATTTTAAAGTTTTATGTTTTATTAAACCAAATGTTTAAAGTTTGTTATATAAAGAAAGTTGATATATGTATTGATGTACACTAAACTTTTCTAAATATTGAGAATCGCTGATTTCCTAGCAGACTGCTTTCTCTACCGCGAAATTTCATTTAGTCGAGAAACTGTTACTGTTTTATATTTATTTATTGTTTGCTATTATTAAAAACCATTTTTCATAACATTATTGTGCTTTATAACATTAATGTTTTTATTTATAAGTTTCATGTTAGTTTAATTGATATCAAGAGAAAGATATTTTTTCAGAAAAGAGGTTTTAAAATTACTAGTATAGTTTTAACAAGAAAAGAATATTGTACTTACGTATATGGTATGTAAAAAGGTGATGTAGTGGAACGAATAGTATCGTACATATGCTGATATACCTATGCAAAATTTAATTTAGCCATTTCTTTGATGGCAGCACCATCAAAGACGTGTCATACGTCAAAAGCAGTGAGTGTACATGCATCAAACAAAATTTTGTATCATATCTTATTTCTTGTACATTTGGTAAATTTTTAAAAAGTCATCTAATGTTATATAGTTTATAGTGCACTTGTTTTAACATCTTGATTGAAATGTTGAGTGCACTAAAACAAGAAATCAAAACTAATTCGCCTTATACGCACAGTGTCCCATACTTTAAACCTTACTTAATGTTAAATGCCTTTTTAGTTTGTTCATTCTTGACGTAACTACGCTATTGCATAAATATTTTTAGATATAATGGTATTATCTCCATTCTTCCTAGTCACTCGCTGTGATCAAAATATTTGTACAGTGTAACCTAACCTGTTCATAATTAAAAATAATGTGAAGATTTGATGTTACAATATTTTTGTTTTTCTATATCTTTTAGAGATAGTTTGTTATTATAACTTATAATTTTTAATATAATTTTTATATATATACCAAATAAATGTTTTTTTTTATCCTATACAAAATAGCTGTATATTATTCTTAACTATTGATATATTTATCATAAGATGAACAATAAGTTGGATAAACTTATGTATTAAAATTTATATAATATAAAGTAACATGAATTAGAAAAAAATAACAATTACATAAGTTCACTAATGTCTGTTATTTTTGGCGCTTGTATATGAAATGATATGACCTTTGTAATTTTGTATATTTAGCATAACAATGACTATAACCCAAAGACTGTAATAAGACTGTGTAAGACAGTGTAACAATAATAATAACAAACACTATCATCAAAATTTGTTTCAGTAAACTTTTCTAAGGGTATGAGGACTTTGTACCATTTTTTTAATTATTTGGGAAAGGTGACAGGTGCTAGTTAACATAATTTCTAATAATTATGGAAAATCAGAGTCACCAAGGCGAAGCTTACCAAACGTATCAATCTTTTTGGAAAAAAAATACTCGTGCTGTTCCAGGCAGGTATGTATAATAATATTATGCTTCTAATAATGGTCAAAATAAAGTTACAATTAATCTTTAGTATTGATTATTGAGAATAATATAGTTTTTTATATTTTACATGCATAATAAAAGACCAAGTCCCAAACAAGATGGTAAGCTTGGTAAAATAGGTAGTACTACACTGATGTCTGGCAGTTCAGTTAATATAATATCTACAAGTGGTGGAGTTATATCAGGAAGCAGTGGAGGCTCTACATCATTTCAAGATTTTCAAGAGAGTGTAGATGATGCTTGGGATTCGGGAGATGATGAGTTTTGCACAGTCTCAGATGTAAAAATATCAAAACGAGTTAGCCAGTCTGCTGCTATCAGTGTCATTAATAGTCATAGGTCAGGAAAAGCATGCATAGATTCAGGGACAAATGTAAAATCTACGCATCGCGTTCAAGAAATTATTCCGGAGGAAAAACGGGCGGAAGCTCTCCAAAGATTAGCTGTGCAACCGTTGCATTTGCGAAATGCTAATTTGTCTATGCATTCTCAAGTGAATAACAGTCAACATTCCACAGAAGATGTGGGTGTAAAGTACGGCGCTTCCCCGCAACATAAACCAACTCAATTTCCAGGCAGACCGCAACCGCTAAGACAAACAACCGCGCCTACTAAATTTTTTGTACCTTCTAAAGAACAAGGTGCTTATGGAACAATTTTTTACATCCATTTATCTTTAATGTATCCTTAGTTTTGATTTGTTAATAATTGTAGATGGGGAAAGTAAAGTAGATAAATTTCAGTCCCTTCTGGAAGCTTCTGTATTAAACTTAGACGAACTGAGGCAGTTGTCGTGGTCGGGTATACCTGCAAGACTGCGTTCTGTTACATGGAGGTTATTGTCTGTAAGTAATAAAGGTAAACTATGTCATATGTTTTATGCATAATGATAAAATTTCGTAAAAAATTTTTAATTTTGTTTTTTGTCATCCAGGAGTATTTACCAGCTAATTTGGAGCGAAGGCAACACGTATTAGAACGAAAACGATTGGATTATTGGAATTTAGTGAAACAGTATTACGATACTGAAAGAGATGAAGGATTCCAAGATACATATCGTCAAATACACATTGATATTCCAAGAATGTCACCGCTTATTTCGTTATTTCAACAAACAACAGTGCAATTCATCTTTGAAAGAATACTCTATATTTGGGCGATTCGACATCCCGCCTCTGGTTACGTTCAAGTATGTTTACGTCCGTTGTTCTACCTTTAATTGTCATCTTCAAATAGTTTTTATTTTCATTTCTTTTTCTTGCAATTTTCTTTGTTTTTAGGGAATGAATGATCTAGTGACACCTTTCTTTCTCGTGTTCTTACAAGAAGCAGTGCCTGTGTCAGCGTGGCAAGATTTAGAAAATTATGATGTTGCATCATTACAAAAAGAACAACGAGATATTATAGAAGCAGATAGCTTTTGGTGTTTGTCCAAGTTTCTCGATGGTATTCAAGATAATTATATCTTTGCTCAATTAGGCATTCAGCACAAAGTAAATCAGTTGAAAGAATTGATACAAAGAATTGATGGTTTGTAAATCAGTCGTTTGGAACATTCTGTTTTTCTTTCTTTCCATTGTACCTTGTTTTTGGATAATTACAGATGTAATTCATTCCTTTAGTACCTTTACATCAGCATCTACACCAACATGGCGTGGATTATTTACAGTTTTCTTTCCGATGGATGAATAATCTATTAACAAGAGAAATCCCTCTACATTGTACCATTCGTCTATGGGACACTTATTTAGCAGAATCTGATCGATTTGCTTCGTTTCAACTTTATGTATGCGCCGCGTTTCTTCTTCGTTGGAGACGTAATCTTTTGTTGCAGCCTGATTTTCAAGTAAGTTCAGACCATAGCACTAATGCAAACTATAATTCGATGTAAAGCTTTCTTTCAGTTATTAAGTAAAGAAAGATGGAGATAGTTTATTATTACTGTTTAGGGGCTAATGTTAATGCTACAAAACCTGCCTACTCAAAATTGGACAGATTCAGAAATAGGAATATTAGTAGCAGAAGCATACAAATTAAAATTCACATTCGCAGATGCTCCCAATCACTTGCAAGCTCACGATACCAGGTGACCACTTTCTAATGTGTTTAGATAACGATATGAGAATTGCGCCACGAACATTGACACAAATGATTTTGTGCTAAATTGATATGCCTGTTTTTATAGTCATCACCTATATTATATAATATATCGATGACTCTCAGGACCAGTTTCAATTGTTTTCTAACTGATTCAAGTTATTAATTTTAAGTCGCTTTTGTAGTTCAAAAAGGAAGCTCTGTTTTCGTTATGTTTTTCACAGACTCAAAGTCTTTACAAATTTTATTACTATATTATATGATATATTTTATTATTATAATTATTATTATTATTATTCTATCATTATTACTAATAATATTGTAGCAATTATTTGTAGAGTTACTGGACGATAATCTATGAACAATAAGTTTGCTCGCCATTTCTCAATTTGTGAAAAATATATTTAGATGCATCCTGAAATATGAAGATGTAATGCGGATCGACCGCCACTCATGGTTCGTGTTACATTTGTATAATATATTTAAAATTATTATATACATCGGTAACAAATAAGCAAAAGATTTTATAAACCAGTTGCAATTATATGACTGCTATTTTACGTAGCGATTACAAGTTTTCTTCTACTCGTATAAATTTTCAGTTTGTGACCGATTTCATTTAAACAAGTTAGTATGTGTAATTTACAATATACAAAACACGTAAAAAAAGTAGCACATGTATTATGATAGTATTTATTTCCATTTCTGTCAGTTTTTCTTACTTCAGAATACCCTTAAAAAGAGAACAGGCTATTGTTTGGAATTTAGAATCTCGTGTCAAGAGATTTCGATGCAAATCTTTGCCATGTTTATGCATTGCCATAATACAAATATTACAGAGAGAGCTT